AACCCCAGAGATCCAGGTGTAGTGCTGCACATCTATAATCCCAGCACTTGGGAAGCTGAGGCAGGAGGATCTCTGAGAGTTCAAAGCCACCCTGGAACACATAGTGAGTTCAAGATTAGCCTGAATGACATAGTGAGACCCTGCCTCAAAAAACCATAAATAAACAAATAAATAAATAAATGGAACCCCAGAGAGATCCACCATCCCATTTGACATGTGTGAACACAAGAAAGTGCCATTTAGGGGCCACAAAACAGAGCCTCACCTAATGCCAAATCTCTTGGTGTTGTACTTTGGTCTTGGACTTCCTGACCTCCAGAATAGTGAGAAATAAATTTCTCCTGTTGTAAGCTTCCTAGCTTATGATGTTTTGTTATGGCAGCCCAGACAAAGATAGGACTGTCATTTTTAAAGGCTATACTAGGGATCAATGATTCAGAAAAATGTGTAAGACATGCACTCAAGAAGCTTGTAGTTTGGAATAACTTTAATACCATGTGTTAGGTACCACAGTACAGACATGAAGAGCTGTGCTGCACACCCTCCACTCACCCTGCTGTTCCTCCTTCCCACCTGGCTTATGCTCTGGGAAGCTGACCTGCAGCTCACACCAGTGGGCCCCTTGCCCTTTACACCCACCTCACTCTGACCAACCAGGAGATGGAAGCAGGGACCCAAGAACAGGCGGCAGAGCAGTCAGGACATCTGTCCCCTCCCAGTTAGGCTGCCACTGGTAGTAGCTAACCCTACATTCCTCTTCCAAAGTTGCAGTACAGCTCTGCCCTGGCTCTCTTTTGCTAGCCTTCTCCCCCAGCATTTTAGTGTGGTCCCCAAAGCTGGAAGCTTGGTCATCTGCATGGCAGTGTTGAGGTGATGGAGCTCTTAAGGAGTGGGGCCCTATTAGGTGCTGTCAGTGGGAATGGTCAGGTATCATAGGGGCAGATTTGTTCCTGAGAGAAGGTTGTTATAAAGAAAGTGAGTCTTGCCCATCTTCAGCCTCTTGCTTCTGGCCTCAACATGTGACCTCTGTTTCAGTTCCCCATACCTGCCCACCACTGTTAGGAGGTGAAATAGATATCATGAAAATTATAACAGGAGCACTGGAGGTGAAGTAGCAGGAAGATATCTGGGAGGTAGAATTTATAGGATTTGATGACTAAGATGGAGACTTATCCCATGGATTTTTTTTTCCTTCCTGGTTACATAATGACATTTCCCAGCCTCCCTTGCAGTTAGGTGGGCCATATGACCAAGTGGGCAGAAATGACCCACATTACTTCTGCTTTACCCTGTACAAACTTTCCACCTAATCCTCCATCTCTCTTTCCTTTCAGGAAGAGGGTAAAGCAAAGGATTCAGGAAGCTTCCAAAGCTCAGGGGGTCACTAGTCAGAGGACGCCTGGGTCCTGAGTGTCTGTGTGGAGTAAGACCCATCCCAAGCTGCCTTGAACTATGATATATGAAAAGTTAGTTTTTATGGTGCTACATCACTGGGATTCGTAGGCTGTTCCATACCACAGCCATTCCTTATCCTAACTAATACGATGAGAAAAAGCATGTGAAATATGAGAGTCAACTTCCTTCTTCCTAACTTCTTGGGTCTAGTCATTCACAAAGTGATCCAGGGTGCATCGGAAGCATGGGGGCCAGATGTTAAACATCATATGCACCTCCCAGGAGAGTCAATGTTTCTCTTCTATGCTTTCCACCCCCGCAGACACCTTGGAAATGACTGCCATACAGAATTCTGACGCTCAATGGGAATCACCTCTTATTGCACCCCGTGTTCTGTGCACTCATTTCCATTGCTGGGTATAATTTCTATGAGGGTGAAAAATCACATCTCGGTCATCTCATGACCTCAGCAGTTCACACAGGCTGCACAGGGAGCTATCACTTCACATACAGATGACAATGAGAACCAGGTCGAGTGAGGGACTTTTGACGAGTGAGTGGTCGGTGTCATCTGCCACAGAGACTAATGAATCCATGGGATTTGGCATCTCCCTGGACCCTGATGACCTGACCAGGCATTTTAGGAGAACAACAGAGGCAGAAGCCAGATGGTGATTTGTGCCAACTCCTGTGAAAATTCCACATAACAGAAATGGTCTCTGGTGACAATATCCTAAAAGCCCATAAAATGCAGAAATATTTATAAAGGTGAACCTCTGGGTTTCAAAAACAGGCACTCATATCCTAGCTCTTTCAGAAAAGAAGTGGGGTATTTTATGAAGCTGATCACTAGGAAAAAATAGGACTTCAAGAACACAAATAATTCCAACCACAGAGCTGAAATTCACCCATTTTCTTTAACACAGTCAGGTTACTTTTAACATTTTATTAATCCACAAAGGGGCAGGATTCCCCTAGGGGAGGCAATAGCAGAATCAGAAAAGAAAGCTTTGATAAAATGCTGCTTTGTGTTCTGATCTCTACAACAAACATAGGAAAACACAAGCATTTCAAGGCACTATGTCCCAGGCACTTATGACTGTGTGGAATATTTTCTTCATCAAATTGCACCTTAAGACATGATTGATGAATTTACTGGAAACCATATTTCAGTTCTCTAAGGGGAAGAAGAAAAAAAGTCTCTTTTCTTTTGGACTTTCACTTTTCTCTGTAAATGAAGTCTACATGACCTGAAATAGTTCTCAGTGGCTCTAACCAACATGCACCACACTTTTCAAACCAAACTCTTGTTTTCAAAAATAAAATTGGTGTTTCAAAGCCCCTGCCTCACAGCTGCTCCCCTCTCTCCTCACTCTGAGATCCTTACTCCCTAGAAATCCATGGAATCCTAAGCCTGGAGGATGGGGAGCAGGTGTCAAGTGGGGGCAGGAGATGGCCCTGAAGAGATGACAAGGGAAGACCAGCCTCAGACAGGCTGGTGGCAGTAGGAAAGGGAGGTCTAAGGTGAGTCATGAAGCAAAAGGACAACATGGAAGGAGCAACTGAGTTTCAGAGAAAAATAATCCTCTGTCTCAGAGGTGACTGTAGGATGCCAAGCTTAGTTTACTGAGAAGTGGCAGCAGCATCCACAGAAATAGGAACACGTGGGCATGGCGCTGGGTACTCTACCCTTGGTACCTCACTGGTTCTCCCAGCCTACTTCTGAGGGGATCCCTACCACATCTTCCTTTCAGGATGAGGAAGTTGAAACTCTCAGAGGTCAAGAAGGAAGCAGGAGGCAGATCTAAGACTCAGCTCCATATCTAACTTCTAAGCCAGTATTCTTAACGACTTCATGGAAATGGTGAGCAGGAGGATCAAGGCTACACTGGCTGGGAGAACCCATCGGGTGACAGTGGCAGGAATTGTGTTTGAGAGCAGTTCATACTGCCTTGTGGCCCATCCATGGTGAAGCTACAAAACCAGACACAAACATCTGTGACCAAGACAAGAACCACAGGAGGTCCTGTGGTGGGGACCCTGGAGGATGAAGAGGAACCATCAAAGAAAATGGAGGAGGACAGGCCAGGCAGGCAGGGAACGAACCAGGAGGGAGAAATCCCACAAGCACCAGAGGCAGGTCCTGTGTTCTGCTTAGGAAGAGCTACTGAGTGCTATGGGAAGATGGCTGCAAGTGACAAGTGCAACTGACCAAGAGCTGACCTGCACCAGGCACTGCTCTAGGTAGGTCCCAGGCTGGGGTAGCTCGGACATGGACAGAAACCCCGGTCCTCACAGGGCTTGCATTCTAGTGGGCAGTGATAATAAGCACACAGAGGGAAACGTAAGCAAGGATCACTTCTCCTACAACTTTCACTAGATAAAAAATATAACGCAGATCTGCTGACTAAGCCCCAGCTGAGAGACATGCATTCATCCTATGTTTACTGGACAAGAGCTTAAGCCAGATGCCATGGTTTGGATGAGTGTGCTAAAGTCTTGGTCTCCAGGATGATACTCACAGTGTCCTAAGGTTTTAAACCCCTGGGAGTTTGACGAAGAGCCTGATGCCTAGAGAAGAACACTGTGCTCAATTAGACTATCAGCTCACTTCATACGGTGACCAGTTACCACCAGGAAAATTAAGCTAATAACATTATCTGAGCATGCTCACATTCACTTATATTTGATACAGAATTTTACACGTAAAATCAGAGTTTGGGGTTTAGTTAATAGCCATCAGAGTTAATTTTTATTAAGTGCTAACTTTAGTCCAGTTATCATGCTAAATGCTTTATACATGTTTTCATTTAGTCCTCATAGCAACCCAGAGAGATCTGAACTATCATCTTCTTTCCCATTTTAAGCATGAAAGAGCCAAGGATTCAGGGAGGTGAAGTAACTTCCCCAAGGCTGGGGTCAGGAGGCAGCTGGTTGGGCAGAGAGCGCAGGCAGCCCAAGACTCCCCAAAAGGACCCTGCTGAGCTCTTCATGGGAGAACAACTAGGAGTAAGAAGCAGGCACTTCGTGTAATTGAGGCTGAATCAGCACTTTTATTGATCACAAATATTCTGAAAAAGGCTATTTTAAAAATATTCTAGAAAGCACCTTTTAATCCTTTATTACTTAGATGCAAGTATGAAGTCCAAGAAAGAACCACGAATTTTGTTAGAACATACAAAATTCAGTAACTCTGTTGAGTATTTTCCAGTTCAGGCATACTTCACCGAGATGCAAAGGCCTGGTCCCTACTCTGGGGCGGGGGGGCACTTTCTCTCTCTGGACCTCGATTTTTATATCTGGAGTTCCGATTTGTTTGTGATGCTCAAGATGCAGAGCAGAATGAACACTGACCCTCCTGGGTGGTTGTGAGGAGGGAAGAGGTCCCCCAGGCCAGCTCCTGCTCAGCCTCCTCCGCCTCAAGCACAAGCCCGACCTGGAGCCCCACTGGGAACCAGACAGTTCCATAAGGACCCAGGGGGACTGGGGGGCCACTGACCCCGCCCAGGTATCTCCAAAGCTCCTTTCTCCTCACCACCGGTACCTGCCTGTGAGCTTCACATAATAGGCACTTCATAAATAATTGTGAGGAAGCGAACGGAATGTTCTTCTGCCCCTGCAGAAGCGCGCATGTGTAGTTCTCATTTCCTCCGCTGACCGGCTGAGGCAGTTAAATAGCTAAGAGGGCTCCTGGGGGAAACCAAACGTTACGTTTATGGAAAAGCTGCTTTTAGATACTGGAGTGGCTTCCAAGTTCACCGCGGCCATAAGTTAAGGGTCTGTCAGCACTTCCATTATGAAAACCACTTTGTGGTTTCATAACTTCGCCATAAAAGTTTGCCTTGGGCGGTACTTGGGCATACAAATTGAAAAGCTAGTTTTAAGCCAAAATTCGGGGATTAGAAAACAAACAATTTATTGGTTTCAGACATAGTTTTGTACCCGTCTTAGCCAAGCAAAATTTATTATGTGGGCAATTAGAGTGGACTAAGCCACTTGGTTCTTGAAAAATAAAAAGGAGGGGAAATGGCCAAAGTATTTATATTTTAAGAGGAGCCACTGAACACAACTGATTATTCTCTTTGGTTATATCTGTATCATGTATGCTGTACCACATATGGATGAGAACCAGAGTTTATGTATTCCTTTCTTTTCTTAAACATTTTTCTGTTAATTGTATCAGAATGATAAAATCGCCTTCTTTTTACTAGAAGATGAGCAACGTGAAATGAGAATATTGTCAAAGAAAGAGCTTGGTGCTGGTTTGGGTAAGTTATTTGAGAACAGCAAGTGTCTCATTTTAATAAAAGCAACAACAGCAGCAAAAGCCATCAGTAATGAATTAAAAAGGTAAAGTCAGGAGATGAGGTCTTCCCATTAGAAACGCTGAGGACCTCAGAAGTCACTTGGTCAAATCACAGACTTTACAGATCAGGAAACTGCGGCCCCATTAAGAATGACCTGCTGGTCTGGGCAGGCTGGAACCAAATATTCCACCTCTCAGTTTAGCCATGGGCTCATCACTCCTCCCCTCAGATGGAGACACTCAAGTTTCCAGGATTCAGTTTTTCCAGACTGCTCATAACTAGCACAGTACCCAGAAATGTCCTGCCTGTAGAAAAGTCCCCTCCTGCAACAGGACACACAGGCATTTCATGACCCCAATCACCTAAATAATAAGTGATGTGTAATTAGCACCCTTGTAGTAAGTTTGTTTCATGATCCCTAGGGCAAGCACACTGCATGCACCTAAAAACAGAGAGTGAGTCTTGGAGGGCAGGTTCCTAGGTCCTGCCTCGCATCTCACTCAGGAGGGACCCAGTCCTACCCCAGGAGTAGAACTGAGCAAACCAGGCTGTCACTGTCACATGTGTGTGGGTGATGGAAGCACATCATTTATGTATGAACCACATCCCCTGCTCCCGAGTACTCTGCTACAGTTCTGAAGACAGATGAATTTGGCTCCAGATTTAGAGCCTGCCTCTGCTGTACCATGAAGGCACCTTGTATGCCCTCTCACACAGTTGTCACATGTCTGTCTGTCCCTCCAGACTCTGCTATGGGCAGGACCCACACCTGTCAGCAGCCTCCCGTCTGGGACAGGAAGGTAGTTATGGCCATTTGCTGAATAAATGAATGAATAAAGAAATGCCCACACTCACTGATGAGATCAGTCTCCCTCTGGAGTGGCCTTGCCTGGCCCTCCTTTCCTACCCACAGCCCCTCCCTGCCCAATGCAGCTGTTCCCACAAAAACCAGTCCAAGCCCTCAGCAGCTACCACTTAGATCTCCAGAAACATTCTTGGTAGAAAGAATGCAATTCTGTTAATAACACCCCGGTAAAGTATTTTCTTAAGTCAAAGAAGAATTTGAGTGAGAAAAACAGGAAATTCCTAAATACCTGGGTAGAAGATCACAGCCCACTCCAATCTCTCTGGTTTCTACTTCAGTCTTTGGCTGGGTTTCTGTTAAATAATCCAACCTGCTTTGAAGTTCATTATTCTGGAGAGGAGGGAAATAGTACTTTTAGTAAACCAAGTATGTTTCCTGACAAATATGCATAATACAATTTATATGTATTATCTGATTTCCCCCATGACTTTATCACACATAACTCCTTATTCAAACAAAACAATGTATTTGTTGAGAACTAATGCAGCAGAGGTTGAGGCAATCAAATCCATATAGTTTCTTGTTTGTATGCTTACTGTATATTCAATTTTACATAAGTGAAATTTTATATAAATGAAAACAGCATATCTTAGTATCCACTATACATGCATATTCTAGTGCACTTACTATAATGTGCTTTTTCTTTGGTCAACAATTTGTTGTAGATATCTTTCTAGTTTATTAGAATTAGTTTCTAATTAGTTTATATTACATCAATACATTACATCAGTAATTAGTTTAATTGGTTCACCGCATTCCATTGCATGAATCTCATTGATAGGAATTTATTTAGATATTTATCGCTTCTTTGCCATTATAAACAAGGTCCAGCTCAACTCTTAACACTCTCTCATTAAAACTATAAAATGAGTGAGTCTATTAATTTAATTTAGTGGGAAATACCTCTATAACTTAATAATTCGTATTTCATATGTGTGGAAAATTCAGAATCTCAAACATATAAAATAGAACAAGCTCCTTGGGACTAAAATTAGCATTCTGAACAGTTTTCTTTTTCTTCTTCTTTTTTTTTTTAGGCCAGAAGCAAACATTACATAGGTGGATGATTAGATGCTCAGGAATTGAAAATTTGTCCCATGAGGAAAATGAACAACAAAGGAACAAGAAAGTTGAGGATATTGAAATGAAAATAGATGAAGTGATGGTATCTTAAACTTAAAGGGCAAGAAAACTTTCAGGAAGAAGCTAACAATGGTTATCTTCCTGTATTGAGAATTTCAGATGCCTTTTTGAAAATATATACATATACAATGATATCTATGAATAATACATATATATTAATTTTTCAAGAGGTAATGACTATATCTATCTTCCTGGTGAATTCTTGATGAATGACAAGTAGGAGATACAAAATAAAATTTATTGAATAAATAAATGCTTAGATACTTTTACAATTAGCATATCATTCACATAACTAGACAATATTAAGGTATTTGCTCCTCCTCCTCCTCCTCCTCTTCTTCTTCTTCTTCTTCTTCTTCTTTTTGTAGTACCAGGATTGAACTTAGGACCTTGCACTTTCTAGGAAAGTGTGGTACCACTGAGCTAAATCCCTGGCCCTGCTTTTTCTACTTTTTAATTTGGAGTTGAAGCTGAGGCACTAGACCAAGACATTAGGTAGCATGTGGAAAAGTAAAAGTTCTATAGAAACAGTAGCTTGAGCTTTGAAAGAAAAAATGAGAGTTACAGCTCAGTGCCCCCCCCCGCCATGAGTGATGCCAAGCAGCAAAGCAGTAATCTCCAACAAGCTTGTGTTCTATGGCATTAAAGGTCTATGGATCCCTTCTGATAAACAGGAAGTAGTATAAACACTGTGGATCCCTTCTGACAGACATAAAAACTATGGATCCTTTCTGATAAACGGGAAGTGATATAAGAGAATGCATTCCAGACTCCCAAGCAGCTAACAAGCTCTGACAGATCTTTGGGCTCTGCATCTACTGCCCCATTCTCAGTATAGATGCACGGTGCTGGGTTATTGCAGGGAAACACTACTGTGAAGAGGTTGGAAACTCTAGCAACCCCATGGCCTTATTGTTTCTCAGTGTAAAGACTTCAGCCATGAGATTTCACAGAACACTGCATCTACGACCTACTGCAAGGGGGCATAAGAGGCAAAGTTAGCAAACGTGCCCCAGCTGAACACAGTGAATGGTGGACATGTGTCCCCAAATCCTTTCTTTTATTTCATGGGAGCACATCAGCCACCCACAGAAACACAGCAATTTTTTTAAAGTATATTTATGACAATTTAATGCAATCAGCAAAAAATTAGTGTGCATCAGACAGTACGTGAAATTAGGTGAGAAGAGGTAAGTTAAAGACAACACTTCTGGACAATGCATAAATCAAAGAAACATCTCACAGAAATTAGAAAATATTTTGAACTGAGTGTTAATGAAAATATATAATATTGAAGCTGTAGGACACTGCTGAAGGAGAGCTTAGGCTCTAAAAAGGACATTTATGGCTCTAAGAACAACAAAATGTCTAACATCAGTTACCTAAAGTTCTATCTCAACAAGCTATAAGAAAAGAGCAAAGCAATCCCAAAATAATTAGAAAGAATACCTTACCAAAACTCAGTGAAACAGAAAACAGACAGGCACAATAGGAAAAAAATCAAGAAAGCCAAAAGCTATTTTAATGTCTCAGAAAATCAGTAAAATAGATAACCTTCTAGCTAGGCTGATCAAAAAAGAGGGAAGAGGAGAGGAAAATGGAGAGCAAAGGAGAGGAGAAGGGAACGGGAAAGAAAAGGAAAAAGAAAGAATTTCATATCAAATTCTTAGAGGAGGGCTGGGGATTTAGCTCAGTGGTTCCACTGCCTGCCTTGCAAGTGCAAGGACCTGAGTTTAATTCCCGGTACAAAAAAAAAAAAAATTCTTAAAGGAAATGACAGGAGCAGGTCTCTGTGACCGTGTAGTAGGCAATGATCTCTCAGAACACAAAAAGCATAAATCATAAAAGAAAAAAATGATTAACTGAACTTTCATAAAAATAAAAATCTGTCCAATATTTACCAAATAAATGAAAGGAAAGCAAGTTTACAGAATGAAGAAATGTTCATGGTACATATATCTGACAAAGGACTGGATCCCAAATAAGAATTCTTGCCAAGAATAGAGATATGGCTGGGGGTATTACAATCCTCAACTTGAAACTATACTACAAAGCTACTGTGATAAAAACAGCATGGTACTGGCAAAGAAACAGACCTGAGGATCAGTGGAATAGATTAGAAGATGCAGAAACAACTACAGATATGGTCACTCATCTTTGACAAAGGAACCAACCATCCTCATTGGAGAAAAGATAGCCTATTTAATAAATGATGTTGGAAAAACTGGATTTCAACCTGCCAAAGATTAAAACTAGACCCATACCTATCACCATGCACTAAATTAAGATTTAAGTGGATTAAAGATTTAAATATTAGGACAGAAACACTAAATTTGCTGGAAGATAAGTTAGGTATAACTCTTGAAGATATTGGTATAGGAAAAGACTTTATGAACAAAACCTCAGTGGCATGGGAACTTGCACAAAGAATCAACAACTGGAATCTTATCTTATTAAAAAGCTTCTGTACTGCAAGAGAAACCACCAACAGAGCTAAGACACAACCTACAATATGGGAAAAAATTTTCAGCAACAGTACCTTAAACAAAGGATTACTGTCTAGAATATATAAAGAACTGAAAAAAAGCAGACCCACCAAATTCAAAGACCCAATTCAAAAATGGGCATCTGAAATGAAGAGACATTTCTCAGACAAAGAATTAAAAGCAGCAAATAAATATATGAAAAAATGTTCAACATCACTGGTCATTCGAGAGATGCAGACGAAAACAACACTGAGATTCCACCTCACCCCAGAAAGAATGGCTGCTATTAAGAAATCATCTAATAACAAATGCTGGCAGGGGTGTGGGGACAAAGGAACCTTTCTCCACTGCTGGTGGGAGTGCAGACTGGTGCAAGCACTATGGAAATCAGTATGGAGATACCTCAAAGAACTAGGCTTAGAGGTCCCATTCGACCCAGCTATCCCCCTGCTGGGTATCTTCCCAAAAGAATTAAAAAAATCATACCACAGCAATATATGTGCACCCATGTTTATAGCGGCACAGTTTGTAATAGCGAAAGCTTGGAAACAGCCCAAGTGCCCATCAACTGGAAACTCGACAAAGAAAATGTGTTTTTTTTTTATAAAATGGAGTACTTCTCAGCCATAAAGAATGAGAAACTAGAGACATTTATAGCTAAATGAATGCATATTGAGGCCAGCCATCCTCTTAAGTGAAATAAATAGGACACACATGTGTAAATAACAAATAATTTCTCTAGTGTGAGAAACTGAAAGTGAAATTAAAGATACACATGGATGAAATGGCCTAATCTCAGATCGTGATTCCATTGTATGTCATATGACTGCATCGAAATTTAAATTAGGGAGAAGCTTGGCTTATGTGGAGTCTGCTAACTAACCAGAGTTTTTTTCCAGATCATTATTTGTTCAGTGTTGGTTTAGGGGATCTTTCTGAAACAAATCACATCTTCTGGTGTCTTGTTGGTGCTTGAGGTGCTTTTTTAAGTTATATGGAAAAATGCTTAAGTGCTTTTCAGTTTTGTTTTGTTTGAGTTCTACTGTATTTGAATATTATTGTAGTTTTTTTCCCCTTGCATTGTTCTTCTTTGAATGGTTTTAATTTTTTGTATGTGTGTGTGTGTTTGATAATAAAGTTATTTTAAAAATTAAAAGAAAAATTCTTGCCAAGCATGGTGGTGCACACCTGTAATCCCAGCACTCAGGAGGCTGAGGCAGAAGGATTGCCTTGAGTTCAAGGACAACCTGGGCTATAGAGTGAGTCCAAAGCCAGGCTGAACTACATAGCAAGACCCTGCCTCAAAACAAAGAATTGTATAATCTATTAGAATTCAATCAAATAGTCAGTGTAATAAAGGGTAAAAGATTGGAACAGATACTTCAAAAACAAGACCTATAAATGGCCAATAAGTCATGAAAAGATGCTCAGTAAGAAATGATGCTGAATATCACTAGTCACCAAAGAAATGTAAATTAAAACCATGATCAGATACCACTACACACACCCTGGGAAGGGTACATCTTCCAAAACAAGATGAGGATGTAGAGAAACTGGTAAGCTCAAACTGTTAGCAGGAATATAAAAAGCTACACCTACTTTAAAAAACTGTTTGACAGGTCTCTTAAAAAGAAAAATCTACTCCTACCCTATCTCTCAGCTACTGCACTACTAGGAATTTACCTAAGAGGAAAAAAGACATATATATACATGATGACTTGTACAATAATGTTCATAGCAGCTTTATTCTCCAGAGTCCTGAAGTGGAAATAACTCAAATGTATATCAATGAGTGAATGGATAAATTGATGTATTCAGGGGATGATCAGTACTCTGCAATAAAAGGACTGTACACAAATTAGACGTGTCAAATCATTATGCTGAATAAAAGGAGCTAGGCACAGAGCAGTCATACTGCATGATTCCATTTATATAAGTCAACACATCTGCAGTGACAAAAAGTGACACAGCAGGGGGTGCCTAGTGGGTGTGAATAAAGAGACAGATACAAAGGGAAACTGAGAACCTTTGGGGGTGACAGACACATTCTGTATCTCTATTGTGGTGGCTGTTCACTGGTGCTACTAGGCATCTCTAATGCAAAAATCTTCAATCCAGAATGCTTAAAAACCTGAAACTTTGGGTTGGGGAATTAGCTCAGTGGCACTGCACCTGTCTCGTAAGCACAAGGTCTTGAGTCCAATCCCTGATACAAAAAAAAAAAAAAAAAAGGAAACTTTTCAGCACTGGTATGCTCCTCAAAAAGTCTCAGATTCTGGAGCATTTCCAATTTGGGATTTTTGAACAGGGATACTGAACCAGTAAAGTCTATGCAAATATTCCAAAAATCAAAAACACTAGGACCAAAATACTTCTGGTCCCACAAGTCTTAGATACAGGATACTCAACTTGTGTACACTTTCAACAGAAGCAGTTTATTTGTATAAATTATGCACAATGAAGTCAGTAAGGAAAAAACTAGAAGGTAATGAGAGACTGAAGTCTGGTAGCTGAGGAACACAGAGAGGGAGGAACAGATAGCGGACATACTTTAAAATCAAATCAATAGGACTTGACACAGAGTAAAACAAAGAACACCTGCTTCCCAGCCTCGAAGACCAGTGTGGAGTGGTGGAGAACCACAGGACTGCACACCAAACCATAGCCGTTTCCTGCTTTCAAATACCACCACCTTGTGTCTGCACATAAAACGGATATGGCCCAAGGACTGGGAGGCTCGTGTGCCTCCCAGGAAGGAAGAATCTGATGTGGCTCCTTTGGGCATGTTGGGGA